TACCTTACAAGATACTAAATTGAACCACCTCAACAAGTCCAAAACAGGTGAAAACCTGATATGTGGTGAGGCTTTATTTATTTATGAGGTAGGAAGACTCTTTTGCAGGGAAATAAACATTTTCATGCCATTGATATTTATAACTCTCACCAACACCCTTGTAATCAAACTGTGTCCCTGTAAGACAAACCATGGGAGGACAGGTTTTAAGAAAACTGAAGGAAAGCACAACAGGGCTTTTTAGCTGCACATGAGCCTTACCAAGGCCAAACAGCCAGAGAAGGCTTTCAGCAGTAGAATTTTCCATCCAGGTCATAGCATGACACTTGGGGGTTTTTAACATCAAAGCATTACCCAGTTGCAGAAAACTGCTCAGACAACAACAAATGAGGTCAGAAAGATCATCAGATTTATTGCCAAAGTAGAAAAAGAGGCATGATTTCCAGAGATGCTTTAATTAATGAAAAAGAAGGTAATTCCTTGAAAGCCCAGCAGTGGAGAGAAATCTGCCAATAACTAAGGCTTCTCCCTGCCCACATTTTAGCCCTTATTAGACCCCGATTGCTTTAGAATCGTATCTCTACAGGCTTGAGTTTGGTAATCCACCCAATTAATGAAAGCCTATTCAGCAGAGCATTCTTTATTACCTTTTAATCTTTTTGAATTCTTTTGCCTCCTTCCCCCAACAGAACATGTTTTAACATCAGCCTTGGGCCTGTTTTCTCCTCAGCAACTCAGTACAAGCCTGGAGGGTAGCAGTCAAGTTTACTCACTGCCAGGCCAAGGATAAAAACATAAAGTTGGGGAAAGTGACATAGAATCTGGTAAATAAGAGTGGAACTGACAGCTCTTAGCCACAGTTTCAGATAGGCCATTCCAGCATCAGCAGAAGAGCCCAGTAGGCTGATGAATCTGATGCAAGGAATCTACTCAAAGGCAGGAACATGGGCACCAGCCTACCTTCAGCTGTTGCCTCCACCCATCTATCTCTCCATCCAACAGAAACGTACTAAGCTTCCACAATGTGTTTGGCTCAAGGCTCCAATACTGAAACAGTTCCTGCTCTCAACAAAGCTTCCTTTTTCCATCCCTCCTTCCCTTTCCATCTATCTTACTAGATTAAGTTTTATGTTGAACAACACTGGGATCAATTTGTACATTTGTTCACTAGGAATTAGACCTGAAATTCTTGGTCATTCTATTTAAGCCACCAGCTAGATATCGGCCAATAACTGTCCTCACCCCAAATTTAATACACAGGTAGCCTTGGGGTAAGGACTTGGATGCTCTCTTCAGAAATGGCTAGCAGAACAAAATCAATCATGGCTGACTATGTACTTGTTGGACACCATTAGCAGTTAAGGCAATTTTTTCTTCTCCAGCTTGAGTAGACATATGATTATAAATAGCTTCACTCATTTCAAGATGTGGTAAGTCTACAGGGAAGATTTGGAGAGGCTTGGGGCCCAGACTGCTTGGATAGGACATTGAGAACTGACTAAATTATTGTCTCCATTCTGTCCATTAAGGGGATAAGAATATATATGACCAAAAACACTGGGGGAAAAATGAGCTAGAATGTAAAAAAGCCATATGGTTAAGTGTGAGGAGACAGAACATGCTTGATTTGAAATCTCAGATCCATCACTAAATAACTTTCGGGGAAATAAACATTTTTAAACCTCTTAAAATGCTTTTAAACCTCCTTTATTTCAGCTTCCCCTTTTGGAAAATTAAAGATAACAATTCGACAAATTCCCTATAGTGATCTTGAAGATCAAAAAAAGTAATTCACATCAAGCATTACTGCCCAATGAAAGATAAAAAAAAAAACTCCTTCCACCAATAGTAGAATATCCTTTAGAGGTAATAAGGTTACATAGCCTCTATTTTAACCTTCTTCACTAGGATACTGTAAAGATGAGCAGAATAGACGTGAGAAAAAGCACTCTGAATTCCTAAAAGAAGATACAGTCTACATTTGTAAAATATTTTCAGGATGAGACTGACATGTTTATTATTCATGCATTCTAATCGCTGCCAGGGCTCTGGGAACTGGTTTCACCTTTCTAATTCATTGGCTTAGAAGCCATTAGTTCACCTGATGGACAAGTAAGCAGGGCACTACAGGAGCTGGAGGCATGGAAGGGGGGCGGTGGAAGGATAGTCACATGACCCCCAGCTTGTAGGCAGTATAAGAATTCTCAAGTTCTATGCTTAAGCCTAATTTATAAATTAAAATTCTGTTCTTTGTCATGCTTTGGTATTCAAAACATCTAAAATCCTAGAAATACTCTTCAGTCGTGGGCCATGATGGTGCAACACACTGTACTAAGCTCTGAACATGGAGATTGAAACCTCGATAGGAAAGGTGGCTGCTAGGGTTGCACTGAAATCCTGTAATAATCTTAAAGAAACCAAGAAGGAAGAACAGAAAACTTTCTGTGTCTGTCTAGACTTCATCTCTTCAGAAGTAAGCCTCATCTCCCAGGGCAATTGCAAGAGGATGATAATTAGGATTAGCTTCAAGGTGGCTATCTGCCAACCCGATCTCATCATCAGCCTTCGCTTCTTCCCACCCATCCCATCCCACCATCACTGTTTTCAATAGCTGAAAGTAATGAGACCAGAGACTGAGAAACCATCTGGCAAACCATATTAGATTCAGCTCTTCACCTTCGAGAGGATCAGTTGCAAATTGTAAGTGATCGCTGGTGAGAAAGTGACAAGTGATTTCTAAACTGTCCTCAGCAGACCAATCTCTCTAGCTAATCATCAGTGACACTTCAATAGGTGCTGATATTTGGAATGAGAAGTTATAAAAAAAACTGTAAGTCTCCCAACCTGCCATCATGAGAAAGAGTCATTCTTGCTTTTACAGAGAAAAGAGCTTCGAGTGAAATATCATCAAGTAATACATGGCTTTGAAAATATTTTTTGATTAGCATGGGCTAACCCATTTGTATTTCCCTAAATGTGGTGGCCATCCTATTAGCAGTATCCAAAACCTTTTATGTTGTATGTGGATGAAATTGTGTAAAATGGCTATGTGTTTATTTTAATAAGTTGGAAAAAAATTTAATTCTACATTAAGTCCAGGATTTCACAAGTGCTATTTATTAGGAAGAAGTCATGATTTTAAAAAAGTAAGTTGAATCACTAATCATTAGGGAAATACAAACCAAAACTACAATGAAGTATCACCTCACAATGGTCAGAATGGCCATCAATAAAAAATCGACAAACAATAAACGCTGGAGAGGGTGTGGAGAAAAGGGAATCTCCCTACATTGTTGGTGGGAATGTAAATTGGTACAACCACTATGGAAAGCAGTATGGAGGTTCCTTAAAAACTAAGTACAGAACTACAACATGGGTGGGAGGGGGGATCAGGATGGGGAACACATGTAAATCCATGGCTGATTCATGTCAATGTATGGCAAAAACCACTACAATACTGTAAAGTAATTAGCCTCCAACTAATAAAAATAAACAGAAAAAAAAAAAAACCAAAACTTTGACATGATCCAGCAATCTCACTGGGCATGTACCCTGAGAAAACTACAATTAGAAAAGATACATGTACCCCAATGTTCACTGTAGCACTATTTACAATAGCTAAGACATGGGAGCAACCTAAATACCCAACAACAGAAGAATGGATAAAGAAGATATGGTATATGTACCATTGTGCATATGTGGTACATGTACACAGTGGAATAGTACTCAACCATAAAACATAATGAAACAATGCTATTTATGGACCTGATGGATGGACATGAATGGATCTGACCTAGAGATTGTCACACTGAGTAAAGTAAGCCAGACAGAGAAAGACAAATATATGAGATCACTTATATGTGGAATCTTAAAAAATGGTACAAATGAACTTATTTACAAAACAAAAACAGTCAGAGATGTAGAAAACAAACTTATGGTTACCAAAAGGGAAAGGTGGGGGTGGGGTACAAATTATGAGACTAGAATTGAGATACACACACTACTGTATATAAAATAGATAACTAACAGGGACCTGTTGCATAGCACCGGGGACTCTACTCCGTACTTAATGACGTACATGGGGAAAGAATTTAACGAAGAATTGAATATATGTATATGGATAACTGATTCATTTTGCGGCACACCTGAAACCGACACATTATAAATCTATACTCCATAAAAATTATTTTTTAAAAAAGTGGTGGTCATGGTGCTTTAGTCACTAACTTGTGTCCGACTCTTGCAATCCCAAGGACTACAGCCTGCCAAGCTCTTCTGTCCATGGGATTCTCCAGGCAAGAATACTGGAGTGAGTTGCCATTTCCTTCTCCATTTAAAAAAGTAAGTTGATTCAAATAAAAGTATTCAGTAAGTAATAGGACAGGCACTCATGGATACAGCAGAAACACAGGGACGTGGCATGGGGATGACTTAAGCTGAGAACCACTGTTCTTTACTGGGCACCTACCCTCTAGGCCAAGGATTCCTATGATTACTAAAAGAGAGAGTTTCCTCATCCTGTTTCAGCTGGGCTAACAGATGGCTGAACTCATCTTTTTTTGATTCATTACAATAAGCTGACTATAATAAGCTTCATATCACATGAACTATTTTAAAAGAGCAGATAAGAACAGGGATATACTTGATGCTTATGATCATGCTCAGGAAGGAAGTGAAAAAAATCAGTGGACAGTGAGGTATTTTCATGGCAGCAAGTCAACACAAAGGTTCAGAAGTGTCCCTTTTGCAAAGAACATGGGGACACTTCTTTTGGACCAAGGGTGCTCCAAACAAAATATACACCATCCCCCTGAGTCTGAGTAATGTGTTCTTGTAATCTTTGAATGTCCTAAAAGAACCTCCATAATAGGTGCTTAATAAATGTTTGAATACATAAATAACTACCTGCATCTTAAATTTATAAACATTGCAAAACAACATCACTGATACAACTTTACATCTAGGTGCAAGGAAACTGTAGCTTTAGGAATGAGGCCTACCTTGGGCACGGTCCTCACGTGAAACAGTATATTTTGGAAGGAATGTCCATCGTTGGCCTGCAAGACTGTGATGTCGGAAGTGCTATCCGAGCCATCGTGAAGATACTGGAGAAGGCCCCTAGAGAGCTCGTCCAGACGAAACTGATAGATAGGGGCCGTGGAGGACTGGAGCGTTTGGAGCAACTGGCCATGAACTGGAGGATCGAGCACTTCGACCACCACATCCTGTGGGTTGTCGTCATCTCTGATGTCAAGCAGCTGGGTGGTGATGGTTCCCCTCTCTCTTCTGTTGATATGGAGGACCTCATTCCTCAGAACATAGGGGGCCTGTGGAGTTGAAGGGAAGAGGCACTATGAGCAGGAAAACAGAGGACACTCCAGGGGACCAGAAGTCAGTAGTGTGTAGCCTGATTGCTCTTTCTGAGCTTTTTAAGGAAATCTAGATGCTCCTGCCAAATGTCGAACTCTTGCATAGTCAAAGCATTTGTCAAAGGTGCAGTCAATCATAGTAAGCACTGCAAAGGAGGTTACTTCACACCTCTGGTTCTGAAGATTTCTCAAGCCACTGTCTTGCTTAACACAATATCCCCTGCATTGTAATGGAGATCAGTGTTAGGGAACTCAGTTGCTTCATTCAAGAGACTATAATTCAAACAGATACATGTACCCCTATGTTTATAACAGCACTTCTCACAATAGCCCAAATATGGAAACAACCTAAATGACCACCAACAAATGAATGGGTAAAGAAGATGTGTACATAAAAGGTAGAGAAAGACAAATATCATACAATACTACTTACATGTGGAATCTAAAATACTGCACAAATGAACCTATCTAGAAAAGACTCACAGACATAGAGATCTGACTTGTGGTTGCCAAGAGAAGGGGTAAGGGGAGGGATGAACTAGGAATTTGGAGTTAGTACATGCAAATTATTACATTTAGAATGGATGAATAACAAGGTCTTACTGTTTACCTCAGGGAACTATATACAATCTCCCAGGAAAAACCATAATGGAAGAGAAATTTTTAAAAAGAATGTGACCATGCAAGTGTGCTTAATCTTGTCCAATTCTTTGCAACCCCACGGACTGTAGCCCACTAGTCTCCTCTCGTCCATGAGATTTTCCAGGCAAGAATACTGGAGTGGGTTGTCATTTCCTTCTCCAGGGGATCTTCCCAACTCAGGGATCGAACTCGTGTCTTCTGTGTCTCCTGCATTGATAGGCAGGTTCTTTACCTGTTTAGCCACTTGGGAAGCTCAAAAAGAACGTATATATGTGTAAAATTGAATCACTTTTCTGAGCAGAGATTTGCACCACATTGTAAATCAATTATGCTTCAATAAAAAAAAGAGAGAAAGGGAGACTAGCAAGAGGTATGGAATTTTGGCATTTGTGTTGGGAATCGTGTATTTCACTCCAGGCTATGTTGCAGCATGCTGACTTGAAGTAAGATACTTCACTGTGAATTCCTGCCAATTCTGGTCTTTCTCAGTAATTTTCTTTAAGCCGTCACATCCATATCTTGAAGGGACCCACCCCAACTCAGGTTATAAAGCTTGATAAGATCATGATCTGTGTAAGGCAACCACCTGGCTAATCCATGTGGCAAATTTTAATGTGTTTTCCTTAAGATTACCAGGTTTCCCCCCACCAACTTCAGTAAGCAGATAAAATGTTCTTTCAAGAGATAAAACTTAATGAACCACAACAGAAAAAAAAAAAAACAAAAAAAACAGAAAAAACTCACACACACACAAAAAAAGGCGAGAAGCCAAAGAAAACATTATCTTAGTTTTTTATATCATTTGAAATTGAACCATATAGGACTTTTTCAGCACGCTGCCTTCTTGACTCCAAACAGCTTTCTTTTAAAAATACACTCCCTGGCCTCCTGCAAATTTCAATATCTATTAAAATAATTTCTAACTAATGCATCTCTATAATAATCACATAATATGAAATGAAAAGATAGCTACTCCTCAGGAATCCTGAGTGAGATTTCAAAAGCTGCAATCTTATACATGGGAATGAATGGCCCCTCAGAGTCTGAAAGAGGAGAGGTCAAAGGTGATGTCAAAAATCTATAAATGAAAAAGATTAAATTAACTCACATAAGAAAATTTCAAGGAGGTTCAAAATCATCTTGAAATATCACAGAAATGTAAAGAAACAAAAATAAGTTAAAATTAGTTTCTAAAATTCCATTTTTAAAGAGTTAAAATGACAAAAGTTTCTCATGGAATAAATAAAAAGATGTCTTTACTGTCTACTCAATTGGTTTGGGGAACACAAACAAAGAACAGAGAACCACGGCAACTCAGCATCTCAGATTACGAAGTCACTTACCAAAACCTACCCAAGTCTTTTATTCACCTAATTAGAGTAACTATATTAGCACAAACAAAAAGAACAAAACAGAACATCTGAGCTTAAATACTGAGAAACATCTAAGTCAGTAAATCCTGAGACTTGGTAGCACTCTGACCCATGTTTACAGAGATCACATTTTTGTTTAATTAAAACAAAACTCACGCTCTTAGCCCAACCTGGAGGTCAAATTAATTTAAGATTAATTTCTAATCATTTCGCAACTTCAGTCATCACTGAAGTGAGAATGCCATCAAGAATCCTTGAGTTGGGCTGTGAATACCATTTGGCAGCCACTTCTGGTTCAAGTCTATGATCTTTTTACTTTTGAACCAAAAACATAAAAATAACAGTAAATCCATGGCTAATTCATTTAAATGTATGACAAGAACCACTGCAATGATGTAAAGTAATTAGCCTCCAACTAATAAAAATAAATGGAAAAAAAAATAAATAAAAACAATGATCTCATATATCCTTCCTTGATCCTACCGAGATCTACTATTTAGGCAGTTCGAGTTCCCCCGTGCTGATACCCCAGTCTCTCGCTGTTCACAACGTCAGAATATGTTGATCTTGCTCCTCTCTTTGCACATTTCAGCTGTTTAATTCTCCAAGCCCTGGGACTCAGAGCACATAAGTACAACTTAACAGAGATGAGCGATGAGACCAGATGTGCCATCACACTGAACTTTATAGTATCTACCAGGATTTCCTCTGACTTATGTTAGCCTGATGACCACACTGGACCCTCATTTAAGAAGATCCTTAATAAGGCTTAATAAAGTTCCCAGGGCTTCTCTGGTGGCTCAGCTGGTAAAGAATTGGCCTGCAATGCAGGAGATCCTGGTTTGATTCCTGGGTCGGGAAGATCCCCTGGAGAAAGGATAGGCTACCCACTCCAGAGTTCTTGGGCTTCCCTGGTGGCGCAGACAGTAAAGAATCCACCTGCAATGCAGGAGACGTGGGTTCGATCCCTATTGTTGAGAAGATCCCCTAGAAGAGGGCATGGCAACACACTCCAGTATTCTTGCCTGAAGAATCCCATGGACAGAGGAGCCTGGAGGGTTACAGTCCATGTGACTGCAAAGAGTTGGACACGATTGAGCGACTAAGTACGAGGTCCTCTAATTCCTGCAAACTGAGTTAAATGCAGTTCGGCTACATGATAGTCAAAAGAGGCCAACATAATTCCATATCCTGGGGAGAGAAATATTTAGACAAAACAAACTTGTCCACCTAGGGATAGGAAAGTCTTAACAACTGGTACAGCTTCAAATCGTTGTGAAGGGGGTGCTATCAGATTCAGTATAGAAAAGTAAGGTACAGTTTAATGGTCAAGAACACAGATTGCATAATCAGATTCACTGGGCACAGATCTTGGCTCTCTGTTAGCTACATCACCATAGATAAGTTACTGGACCTCCCTAGGGCTTAGTTTTCTGGCCTGTGAATTGGAGCTTATAATACCTTACAGGGTTAGCATGAGAATTACATGAACAATAGAAGAAGAGCATTATATGTGTAGTAGTAATTATTGTTGCTGTTACAACCCACAAGTACTAAAAAAATTACTCCAGTGGCATTTCAAGAGGAAACTAAGGAACAATTAATTCAGCTCAATCATTTTTGCTAAAACTACAGAAAATCTGAACTTGTACTTGAGAATGAGTTGTTGTTGCAGTTTAGTCACTAAGTTGTGTGTGACTCTTTTGCAACCCCAGGCTCCTCTGTCCATGTAATTTCCCAGGCAAGAATACTGGAGTGGGTTACCATTTCCTTCTCCAGGGGATATTCCCAACCCAGGGATCGAACCTCCATCTCCTGCATTGGCAGGCAGATTCTTTACCACTAAGCAACCTGGGAAGCCCATCAGTAGGCATGTGAAATTATTAGCTGTATGGCATTTTCTTACCTGTGTTGAAAACGCTTGTATATTGATCAGCTGTGGCTCAGAGAAGAACTGCTGGTCACTAATTTTCAGAGAAAAGTAACCTTTCCTGAAAGAAGCCCCCAAGAAAAGAATGAGACAATATAATCATTAAATTGGTCTTTAGAAAGACAAGGGTTAAAAATATTTTCAGGTTATGTGCATATATGAATTTGGATCAAACTACTACAATAATATACTAGTCATGCCATAACTAGAAAGGAGCCCATAAAGATTAACATAGTGAGATGCAGGTAAAAGCACTGTATATTCTTCTATTTCATTATAATAATGTTTCTTTTTCTTTTTTGGGGGATTTTTTATAAGTAGAATATATAAAAGGTTGAAAAATCAGTTGTTAGGCCAACACCGGTTAGTGATATATTAAAGGTTAACGATCAAGCTGGAGAATGGAAAGGAATCTTTCACAGTCTTTGACTAGTTCTCAGTGACTCCCTCTTCCCTGTGAATTCTCTTTCCAACCGCTGCCCAATTCACATGAGTGGACCGCGTTAACAATTTTGCAGTGTTTATATTACATGACTCTATGCCCACCCCTCCCTCTAGCCACATGCATATTCACTGTGGCCTGGACTAGGGAAGAATGACTGACTCCAGCTTCCCTGGAAATTTGGAACTGGCCTGAGAGCCTCATTTGACTAAGGCGGAACCACAGTCTACCATGTTGATGAGAAAGTGGAGCAAGTTGGTCTCTAGGAGACAGGTGGATGTAGCCTTCCAGCAAAGCAATTGAGATGAGAGGAGAACTGAGTCCTGCTTCCCATTTCCCATTCTAACTCCTGGGCTTGCTCTAGAAGCCCAATGGTCCCTGATGTGTCTGAGATCTGAGCCATACCTGCAATGTTATAACAAGTCTTAAAATTTTGCTTAATCTAGTTCAAGTTGACTCTCATTACTTGTAATCAAAGAATCCTAATTAATAGAATAAAATAAGACTCACTCTCTGCTGCGGTTTTTATTTCCTGTAAAAGAGTGAGTGTTGTTTTAGCAGCTTCAAAGACTACTAGGAGGAAAGGTAGGAGTTACCCACCTTCAAAGCCAAAGCAAGTTCAGAACTCACTTTGTGCTGGTAAGATGTATGATTAACACATTATGGGAGTTTTGAATTCTGGCCTACTATAGGAACTATTGTTTTAAAGGTTCTTTAAAAGGCATTCAGGGAACTGACTACTGAAACATGAAAGAATGTGGATGGATCTCAAAAGTATTATGGCAAAAGCCAGAACCAAAAGATTATATACTGTATGAGTCCATTCACATGACATTTCAGAAAGGGCAAGACAATAAGAATGAAAAACAGACCAATATTTGCCAGGGACGGTGGGGAAGTGAGTGCTTGTAAAAATGAGGTAGGGACAGGGTGAAAAGACTGTTTCATATCTTGCTTGAGGTTTCAAGACTGCAAGACTATATATGTATTTGTTAACACACATAGAACAGTATAGTTTAAAATGAGGGATTTTATTAGATGCAAATTATACCTCAATAAATCAGATTTTTTTTAAAAAAGGAATTCTTGTCTTCCTTCTCATTCCACCCTTCCTTTCATTTTTGGTTCCATTCAAATCCTATCCCTCTCCCCTCCTACCTCCAGACTTCAAGAGAATACAGGTGACAAAGCAGCTGAATGCAGAGAGAAAGGGTGGCTACCTGCAACCTACTGGGGGAAAATGATTTTGGTGGCCCTTAGATTCTAATAACTGTGTTCAGCCTCTCGGCAATGCCAGCTAATCAGGGTCACTAGGACTATATTTCCAAGTCATTTCACACTCCACAGAGGAATTCCAGCCCAAAGGAAGCCAATCCTAAAGAATCCTAGTGGGCATGTTCATGGGAAAAACAACCACAAGACCATGCGGCAGGTAGCCCCTTTAGCTTCTGTATCATCCAGAGACTTAGATAATTTCCTTTTAATGTGAGTTCCTACTAACCTTGTTTTACTATTCCTCTCATTCTTTCTTTTAAAAATTTTTTTAGATAAGAAATCCAATGTTAAAATGGGTCAGTTCAGTTCAGTTCAGTTGCTCAGTCGTGTCCGACTCTTTGCGACCCCATGAATCTCAGCACACCAGGCCTCCCTGTCCATCACCAGTTAAAATGGGTACTAAAAAGTAAAAAGAATACTGAAAGAAATCTCTGTAAAATAGTTGCCACTCTTTGCCCTGTTTAAGGGTGCAAAGCTGACCCTGGAAAGAAATCTGTGGTAAGGGATTAAAGAGATCAAACAGATGAGAGGCTTAACTTTGGTTGTCTATGGATCTTTATATACTTCACACACTTTTCACAAGTGATTCTGAGACATATGACTACAGGTATTGAGCTGTGCATGTGTGTCTGTGTATGTGTGATGCAAACACTGAAGAACTATACTTGAAGGAAAATGAATGGAGAAGACAGAACTCAAAGGGATTCTACGGCATCAGACACCAGAGTTTTAAGCACCATCTCTGGAGCAATACTTTCCTATAACAATGAACTTTTGCCCCCAGAGGATGGAAGCACATCTGTTATACTACTAAGTACTACTAAGGAGGCAGAAATCATTGAGTTTGAAGGCATGGGGTGTGGAATCAGAGAGCCATAGGTTGGAGCCTCAGCTCTGTACTCATATGCTGTGAGGCCTGGACAAGATTACATGTATGCTCAGGGCCTCAGTTTTCCCATCTGTAGCCTGGGAACATAAATATACCTAATTCACATCAAGCGCACCACACAACGGGGCGGGGGGGTCATGGTGAGCAAATGCTAGTTGTCCTTACATCTGTAAGATGGGTCTTTTGAGGTTACCAACATCACTGGCTCTGAACTGTAACAGGAAGCATATGATCTACTTTTCTCCCCACTTGTCCAGATCTTAAACACTTTTAAAAATTCTCAAATTTAGTGGTGATAGTAGAAAATCTTCACTGCTTCCTTTATCACTGTTCCATGGAGTTCAAGTCCTTATCGACATATAGAGTCCACTTTGAAATAGGCTATACTAGTGGAGCAGAGCAGGGAAAAGGATAATCCAAGAGGCTAATCTTTGGGGTGCGTTCCCTGATTTCTAGTTAGGAGATTTGCTCTGCTAATTATACGGCTTGATTTGCTCGGGTAAGAGTTAACACTCAGCTGCATTCCTGAAGCATATGTCAGCTGGGGTGGGGGAAGACAGCCAGAATTGTGTTAGGCATCAGAAGAAAACTGGATCAGGCTTTAAAATTAACCACAATTAGTCCCAGAAAGTGGATAATAACAAGTTAACCATGACTCCTCATTTCCTTCCAACTCTGAAATTCTAGGAACCATACAACGCCTTAAAAAGCATGCACCCCATCCTCTAGCCATGCCCTCCCCTCTGGCAGAGAACCCTGATGCTGAAGTAGCAGCTGCATCTGGGTATAGAAGTGATTTTGTTCCTCCCGGGCCAAAAAAACTGGGTAATTGTACTAGGAACTTTCCCGTCACATCAGAGAATTACCCACAATTATGTGATAAAATGAAAATGCCTCTAACAGAAGCACTCTCTCTGAGCAATTACAGCGAAATGATGACAGGCAGCTGAAAGCGGCGCTTGCAGAGTATCGATCTCCCCCAGAAGAGGAGGGAGCGCTCTGAGGGGCAGAGGGCAGGGAGCGCAGAGAACTGATGGGGAGGAGACAGGAGGAAAACAGCAGAATGCTGGCTCACCTGGGCTTTTCTCTGCTGTGCACAAAACGCACTTTTTTCTCCTTCACATCTTTCCAACTGAAGTGGCCAGCCTTGTCGAGCTGAACCTCTTTTCCATTCCTTGAGAGCACGAGCTGACCATTGGTGGGGGTGCTCACCACATGGAACAGTAGGTCTTCGACCCTGCCACCCTGCTCTTGAACATTCAGGAGGGAAAAATCCAGAGGCTTCATTGAACCAATTGCAAGGGTGAGGGAACCATTCACGTGAAGACTAGGGGTGTGTATTTTGCCTGGAAAACATACGAATCCAAAGGTCAGGCGTGGTACAGTCACTAATTAGGTTATTATTTTTTTTAAAGAAATATACGTGTAATATTCATTCAGAACTACAAAGATGGGGCTTCCCTGGTGGCTCAGTGGTAAAGAATCCACCTGTAATGCAGGAGACACAGGAGATGTGGGTTTGTTGGTTCAATCCCTAGGTCGGGAAGATCACCAAGAGAAGGGAATGGCTACCCACACCAGTATTCTTGCCTGGAGAATTCCATGGACAGAGGAGCCTGGCAAGCTATAGCCCATGGGGTTGCAAAGAGTCAGACATGACAGAAGGGTAATGTTGATTCAGAACTACAAAGATGAAACTCTAGACTACTATATTCCATAAGCCTCCTTCTATCCAGTGGTTCTCATCCTAGATGTGCATGAGAATAACATAGAGTGTCAGTGTTAAAAGATAAAACTCCTATAAGAATATACAGGAGAAAATCTTTGTGATCTTAAATTAGGCAATGCTTTCTTACATATGACACAAAAAGCACAAGTGACAGAAGAAAAAAATACATACAGCTGACATCATTAATACTAAAAACATTTGTGCTTCAAAGAACATTAGCAGGAAAATGAAAGAGAATCCACAGAATAGGAGAAAACATTTGCAAATCACATATCTGAAAAGGGATTTGTATCTCCTTTGTATCCAGGATATACATAAAGAATTCTTACAACTCAATAAATGACAAATAAACCAATTTTAAAATAGGTAATGAACAGACATTTCTCCTAAGAAGATATATGGAAGGTCAATAAGCACATGAAAAGGTACTCAACATTATCAGTCATCAGGGAAATTTGAATTAAAATCACAAGATATAATCATCTCACACCCATTTTAGGAAGCAGAATGAAGTGTTCCTGAGGGTGTAGAGAAACTAGAAATCTCATATATTGCTGGTGGAATGGAAAATGGCAAGCCACTTGGGAAGACAGTCTGGTGATTCCTCAAGTAATTAAACACAGAGCTACCACATGATCCAGCAATTCTGCTCCTAGGCATATACCCAAGAGTACTGAAAGCATAGAAAGTGAAAGTGAAAGTCGCTTAGTCATGTCTGACTCTTTGCGACCCCATGGATTATACACACAGTCCATGGAATTCTCCAGGTCAGAATACTGGTAGCCTTTCCCTTTCCCAGCAGATCTTCCCAACCCAGGGATTGAATCTAGGTCTCCTGCATTGCAGGCAGATTCTTTACCAGCTGAGCCGCAAGGGAAGCCCAAGAATACTGGAGAGGGTAGCCTATCCCTACTCTAATAGATCTTCCTGACCCAGGAATCAAACCAGGGTCTCCTGCATTGCAGGCAGATTCTTTACCAGCTGAGCTTTCAGTGAAGCCCATTGAAAGTATATGTCCATACAAAAACTGTAACACCAATGTTCATAACAGTGTTATTCACAAAAAACAAAAGTGGGAACAACTGAAACAATCAAGCATCAATTGAATGAATAAACAAAATATGGTATGTGCATATAACGGAGTATTATTCAAGCATAAAAAGAAATGAGGTACTGATATGTGTTCTAACAGAGAGGAACCTTGAAAATACTATGCCAGGTGAAAGAAGCCAGATGTAAAAGGCCACATATTGTATGCTTCCATTTATGTGAACTATTTAGGGTAGGCAATTCCATAGAGCCAGAAAGCACTGTGGTTTCTGTGTTTAGCAGGAGCAAAGGCAATGGGTCAGTAGAGAGAGATTACTAATGGTTACTGGATTTCTTTTTAGTATGATTAAAATGACCTAGAATTAGATTGTGATGATGGTTATGTAGCACTGTGGATATACTAAAACCTCATTATATGTTTTCAAGGGTAAGTTCTATGGTATGTGAATTATATCTCAATAATAACAATAAAAAATCATAGAGATTTTTTTAAAACAATATTGATACTTAGGCTCTATCACCAGAGATTCTAACTTAGATGTTCTGGGGTGGGGCCTTGGTCATTTTATAAGCTCCACAGGTAATCCTAATTGGTTGCCACATTGGAGAACACAGTCTTCTCTTAACACATCTGTCATATCTGACCATCAGACCCACCAAGGGCAAGAGGAGAGGCAAGTGCTGAATACCATTTGCAGGAACCGCACCAGTTAACCTTCAGTGAAGTAGGATTATCGGTGGCTTACATTCAGAATTCAAGTGAAATATACACACGTTGCTTTAAAAATTTACGATCTCTGTCTACAGGAAACATATGATGGATGAGTTAGGATTTCTGACCTTGATGTGGAATTCATCCTGTCTCCTGCAAGTTGTTTTGCTGGAGCTTTAATTGGCAGAGCTTCTTTTTACAAGTAGGACAGACAGGGCAGTATAGGAATGCCAAGTTTCAGGGGAACTACTTCTAATGTAAGATTACTCTAACGAAAGTTGAATTCATTTGCACAAGTTGACTTGTATTACATCCCAAGTGGGGTAAGCTGACTCTCAAGTTCTTAGGGCTTCAGAAGGATCCCAATAAAATAAGCCAAAGATAATTTTTCCCATGGGAAGTCTTAATATCATAGGAGGTCGGAAATACAGTGATGAAAAATATCATTGGTGATAAAACATGATTCATGTTATTGATGAAGGACACTCAAAAGCCAAGAAATGCTCAGAACTCCCAATCTTCATTCACCTGTAAAAATTTGGGGGCCCAAAATTAAGCCTGAATTTAAATTTCATTCTCTTTGTTGTTTAAGGTAAAACGTCCACTGATGTGTTAGACAAGACTAGTTCCATTTCTTTGACATGTTACCTAATTCTTAATGGTACACAGAGAAGCTTGAAATCCATCTACTTCCAATATGTGAACCTAATGGGGCAGGCTCCTGATTAGGCACCATTCACTAATTATTTATCATTTATTTATCATTTATCTCCAGTGTGCACAAAGAATACTTCATTGCACCTGGCCATAATTAGTTCTACATGTTGATAAAAATATACTAAATTACATCTATTAATATAAACATATATATACAATGTTCTATAACATGGCTGTAGTTCAGGGACATAAATAAGTTTTATGTCAAATTTATGATCTGACAGTTGTGACTTTTAAAGTGCAGATGACTTCTTTTTCCCTTCCAAAGATCTGAGAAGTTGAATTCTCCCAATTTTTCATTGTCTCTAAATAAGTCCCTTACAGCAGCACCTAGGGTTTTCCCAGAATGGGAAGCCTGCATTTTACATCACATGGGCCAACTGTATCTGCAAAGTCAGCCTCTACATGGAGAAATTACAGGTGATTTCACCAGACCATTGTGGGAGAAGCACTTACCAGCACATGTCTCATTAGAAGAGTGGGCAGAGAAGCCAGGAACACAGGTGGAGAGACAAAGACCGCTCTTCAGAAAGAAGCCCTGGTCACAGAGGTCACACCAGTCTCTGTGGCTGCACCGCAAGCACCCCTTAGGGCAGGCTATCAAAGACAGGACACATCAAATCAGGCAGGACGAAGGCACAGGCACTCAGCAAGGGCCACCAGTGACAAAGAAATGAGGAGTGAAAGCACAGCAACATATGACCCCTAGCTGTAGCAGAAGAGAGTTCTGAATTGCCTATAGAATTTCATAGACAGCTGGTCTACCCCAGCAAGGCCGTGACCAGGGAGAAGCACCTTTGCTTTACACACTATGACCTGAACATGTTGCACATAAATGGATTGTTTAAAAAGTTAACCATACTGAATTGTAAGGGAGGCAGTTTCTAGGGATTAAGAGCATAAATCCTGTTGGGGTATCATTCCTCTCTTCTACTACTTAACAGCTGTTGAATTTGGGCAAGTTGTTTTAACAGCCTGTGCTGTAATAATTTTCTCATCTTCAAAATGGAGATAAATAGCACCTAATGCACTGGTGTTGGTTGGATTACAGGTGCTCTACATAATGAGAAGTGACCAGAATAGTAATGGGCACACGAAAGAACTCAAAAGTACCACTATCACGGCTTTTCTTATTTTTATTATTTTAAATATATGGGGAAAGCAAGCTTTTTAAAAAGACCATAGATTATTTCTTTGAATCAAGTCAATTATCTTCTATAAATCAAGTGTTTACTGCTTATTATTCTGCTTCCTCAGCTGAGCTGTTAGAAAGAGGTGGCACAGGATAGTTTTAAAAGTCTTGAATCAGAAAATCTGAGTTTAATATCTGATTTTATGTTGTGTTGGTTAATTCTTAAGCCTTTTTTTTTTCCACTTGTAAAACAAGATTCATAGTGTCTGCCATATTTTACCAACTGATTGTGAAAGTTAAATGAGATAATGCTGATGAAGGAAATTTGGGAAAACATAAAATGCCATGCCTGGGTAAAGGCATTATCATTAAATATCAATTGTCCTTTAAAGTATGGGCTTCCCAGGAGGCTCATGGTAAAGAATCCATCTGCAAATGCAGGAGACACAGGTTTGATACCTGCGTTGGAAAGATTCTCTGGAGAAGGAAATGGCAAGCCACTCCGTATTCTTGTCTGGAGAACCCGATAGACAGAGAAGCCTGGTGAGCTACAGTCCACGGGGTCACAAACAGTCAGACACAACTTAGGGACTGAACAATAACAACACGGTACCAAGTTTTGATAGAAATGATGAGAACAAACTGAGGAAGCTCTTGTGAATAACTTAATGGACAAGGAGATTAAGACTTTGGGTTTAACTTCAGTTTAATATAAAAGTTCAACATATCTCACTAAAATGTTCCCCAAATTTCTATTCTTCAAGCATATAACGGCAATAACAAGGTCAACGGGTAATTCAGTGTACACGTCGAACACCCTGGCCCCATGTTAATAGGGCTGACCTACTCTTAATGGACACCTCACCTTAGTTCAATATAAGCTTTCTATTCCATGAAATATTGGCTTCGTTTCCATGCAGACCTTTAGGGACAATATTGATTTGTGCAAAAGAATTATTGGTCTGCACTTCCACCTTCTATTTAGCCAGCCATTGGCATGGATGCACAAGAAGCCATCAATTACTTTAGGCCAAACTCCCTGGGTTTTCATTCTGCTCCTAATTCAGATTCTCCTTGGCTACCTGAGAATCAACACACCCGACTTCCTTGCTGCCCTCCCTTCTTTCAGAGAATGCAGTACAGTCTCCAACTCACCCATGCATTTGTGGTTAGCGTGGTCTGCAAAGAAACCCTTCCCGCATTCCTGGACACACTGGGCTTCCAAGAGGAGAAACGGCTCTTCACAGCGGGTGCACTCACGGGGACCTTGGCACTGGAGACAGTGGCTGTCGCAGTCTGAAAGACACAAATCAAGTGGACAGGAGTGTCGACAGGCTTTCCGAGGGGCTCCTGGCCCTCGTGGTGAGGCCAGGCGACCTAGTGGGCCAGGCAGCAGACTGGGAGTCAGGAAGCCAGGCTTCTGATTGTGACTGTTGTGCTGACAAACTGGGTGACTTAGCACTAGAAACTGCACTTCTCTGAGCCTCAGTGTTCTCTCCTGTAAAATGGAAAGAACATGCTGCTTTACCCAGCTCTTTGGATAAATGAAAAATACTCTGCAAACTATAAATTGACAGATATTTTCCAGCAGTCATGTATGGATGTGAGAAGTGGACCGTGAAGAAGGCTGAGCCCTGAAGAATTGATGCTTTCCAATTGTGGTGCTGGAAAAGACTCTTGAGAGTCCCTTGGACTGCAAGGAGATCAAACCAGTCAATCCTAAAGGAAATCAACCCTGAATACTCATTGCAAGGACTGATGCTGAAGCTGAAACTCCAATACTCTGTCCACCTGATGTGAACAGCTGACTCACTGAAAATAGACCCTGATGCTAAGAAAGCCTGAGGGCAAGAGGAGAAGGGAACAACAAAGGATGAGATGGTTGGATGATGGCATCACTGACTCAATGAACATAAGTTTGAGCAAACTCCAGGAGATAGTGAAGGGCAAGGGAGCCTGGCATGCTGTAGCTCATGGGGTGGCAAAGAGTAGGACATGACTTAGCAACTGAAGAACAACAAGCTAGTATCATTATTACTGTCTAGCCCTTGGCTCTCTACACTGTTTCTCTGAAGCGTCAGTTTTTCCTGGCTGGCTTGATCGGTTATCAGAGTGTCACCCAAGGATCTTCCCAGGAATGCTGCCTGGGCACTTTGGGTGGCATTTCAGGATGTGAAGATTTTGTGGTGTTAAATTAAGGCTGAAGCAGGTACTGGACCAGAGTAAGGTGACAGTTAGATACATATGGTATACAGAGGCTTTGGTGAGGCAGATGGTGGAATAATATGGTTTTTAATGTGCTCAGATGACCAGAGCACACTGACCCCTCCATCTGGAGCAGAGCACTGTTCAATTTTTAAGGAAATCCAAAACTAGTGGTCAAAAAATACCTGTTTGTGTGGCCATATACCCCTAAGAGTCCCATGAGGACTTCAAAATTATCGAATGTTGTGTCAGAGCATGGGCTTCCCAGGTGGCGCTAGTGGTAAAGAATCCCCCTGCCAATGCAGGAGACACTGGCAAGATTCCTGGGTTGGGAAGACCCCCTAGAGGAGGAAATGGCAACCCACTCCAGTATTCTTTCCTGGAGAATCCTGTGGACAGAGGAGCCTGGCACGCTACAGTCCATGGACTCTTTTCAAAGAGTTGGACATGACTGAAGCAACTTAGTATACAAGTTGGGGCATGGGAAAAGGAAAGAGGGGACATTTTCATGATAACAAAGAAAAGCTCTTAAGAAGGAAACCAGAAACCGGATAAAAAGCCATAAGGAAAACTTTCCATGGACTCCTTCCTTCTCAGAACAGTGGCAATCAGAAGAGATGGAAGCTTGGGTGAGCACAGAGAAGGGCTGCAGACACTTACTCTTGCAGAGGCCCAGGTCCTGGTAAAATGATGCTGAGCACTGCTCCACGCAGGCGCCGTCCTGGAGAACATAGCCGTCCATGCACTGGAGGCAGTCTGTCCTCAGAGGCCCGCTGCACGCATTGCAACTCCAGTCACACTCTAGAAAGAAAGTTCCTTCAATCAGCTTCCTTTCTGTCCACCCTCAGTCCCAGAGACTAATTTACAAGGACGCTGTCGGCAGCTGCACGGGGTAAAGTGAGGACACCATAAGAGATGTCAGGTACATGAGCTCTAATGAGGCTCTGCTTGTAGTAGCCTGCACGCCTCTCTGAGGTTGAGTGTTTCCTAATTATGTTAGACACGGCACATACACGGCACGTACAAGGATTGCTCCACGCTTCTGTGAAGCCTGCTTGTCAGCGGGGCTGCTGAGGAGCCAGACCAACTGGATCGTATTCTATAAGGGCTCTAGAGTTCTGTATCCCTGAGACACAGCATCTTCATGCAAAGCCTGCTCCAGAGAGTGGCCAATTTGCTTCCACAAACCTAACAGGATCTCCTCCAAATGCCAAAAGGCAAAGGAAGTCAGGGGGCTTTCCTAGTGGTTCAGACAGTACAGAATCTTCCTACAATGCAGGAGAGCTTGGTTTGATCCCTGGGTTGGGAAGATCCCCTGGAGAAGGGAATGGTAACTGACCCCAGTATTCTTGCCTTTAGAATCCCATGGACAGAATAGCCTAGCAGGCCACAGTCCATGGGGTGGCAAAGAATTGGACATGATCGAGGAAATAACACTTTTACTTTCAAAGGATATCAGAGACTCGAGGAAGGATGCATCTTCTCACTCCACTAACACCAGCTGCGTGATTCCCTTCCTCTCAGAAATTAGGCAGTGACCAACACAACACAAAGAAGCATTGACACTGGAGTTAAAAGGGTGTGAAAGAACAGTACAGAAAGGGATTCCTGATATAAAACAGATCTCATGCAGAGCAGACTTGATTCCTTTACATGTTCATTGACTCAAACAAACATCTGTGGGGTATACAGCCTAGAGCCAGCTTATCAAGTGGTGGGTGTAAACTGTTCTCAAGAAGCTTATGTTCAAGTGTGTCCCAGCCCAAGTCACCCACACAAGTAATCCAGGGGGATCGTTAGAAATATAGATCATCAGGTTCACTGTCAGAACTACCGAGTCAGGCCTGGGGCACGGGATGCAGGAAAACATGGTACTGTGGCTATGGCTTTGGTGATTATGATTATTCTGGTTGTTGCTGCTGTTGTTTTGGCCCAGGCAATTCCAATGCTGTCAGAAAATGCAAAGTTCTAGCTCGAAAGGTCAGTCCTTCATGCATGGATGACAGGACAAGAAAGCAGAGTTACGTACTTGGTTTTGAAATCAAGTAGATCTATATTCAAGTCACAGTGGAAGTTACAAATAGACAGAATGCCTGAAGAACTATGGACTGAGGTTTGTGACTCTGTACATGAGGCAGTGATCAAGACCATTCCCAAGAAAAAGAAATGCAAAAAGGCAAAATGATTGTGCGAGGAGGCCTTATAAATAGCTGAGAAAAGAAAAGACATGAAAGGCAAAGGAGAAAAGGAAAGATATACCCATTTGAAGGCAGAATCCGAAAGAATAGCAAGGAGAGATAAGAAAACCTTCCTCAGTGATCAATGCAAAGAAATAGAGGGAAACAATAGAATGGGAAAGATTAGAGCTCTCTTCAAGAAAATTAGAGATACCAAAGGAATATTTCATGCAAAGATAGGCACAATAAAGGACACAAATAGTATGGACCTAACAGAAGAAGAAGATATTAAGAAGAAGTGGTAACAATACACACAAGAACTATAAAGAAAGACCTGCATGACTGAGATACCCATGATGGTGTGACCACCTCCCTAGAGCCAGACCATTTGGAATGTGAAGTCAATCCGGCCTTAGGAAACCACTAAAACAAAATTAGTGGAGGTGATGGAATTCCAGTTGAGCTATTTCAAATCCTCAAAGATGATGCCGTGAAAGTGCTGCACTCAAGATGCCAGCAAATTTGGAAAACTCAGCAGTGTCCACAGGACTGGAAAAAGTCAGTTTCATTCCAATCCCAAAGAAAGGCAATGCCAAAGAATGTTGAAACTACCACACATGTGCACTCATCTCACACGTTAGCAAAGTAATACTCAAAATTCTCCAAGCCAGGCTTCAACAGTATGTGAACCATGAACTTCCAGATGTCCAAGCTGGATTTAGAAAAGGCAGAGGAACCAGAGATCAAATTAACAACATCCGTTGGATCACTGAAAAAGCAGGAGAGTTCCAGAAAAACATCTACTTCTGCTTTATTGAGTATGCCAAAGCCTTTGACTGTGTGGATCACAACAAACTGTGGAAAATTCTTCAAGAGATGGGAATACCAGACCACCTGACCAGCCTCCTGAGAAATCTGTATGCAGATCAAGAAGCAACAGAGACCTGGACATGGAATAACAGACTGGTTCCAAATCAGCAAACGAGTATGTCAGGGCTATATATTGTCACTCTGCTTATTTAACTTATATGTAGAGTACATCATGAGAAATGCTGGGCTGGATGAAGCATAAGCTGGAATCAAGATTGCCGGGAGAAATACCAGTAACTTCAGGTATGCAGATGACACCACCCTTATAGAAGAAAGTGAAGAAGAACTAAAGAGCCTCTTGAGAAAAGTGAAAGAGGAGAGTGAAAAAGCTGCTTTAAAACTCAACATTCAGAAAACTAAGATCATGGCATCTGGTTCTATCACTTCATGGCAAATAGATGGGGAAACAGAGGAAACAGTGAAAGACTATTTTTTTGGGCTCCACAATCACTGCAGATGGTGACTGCAGCAATGAAATTAAAAGCCGCTTGCTCCTTGGAAGAAAAGCTATGACCAACATAGATAGCTTACTAAAAAGCAGAGACATTTCTCTGCCAACAAAGGTCTGTCTACTCAAGGCTATAGTTTTTCCAGTAGTCATGTACAGATATGAGAACTGGACTATTAAAGCTGAACACAGAAGAATTGATGCTTTTGAACTGTGGTGTTAGAGAAGACTCTTGAGAGTCCCTTGGACTGCAAGAAGATCCAACCAGTCCATCCTAAAGGAGATCAGTCCTGAGTATTCATTGGAAGGACTGATGCTAAAGTTGAAACTCCAACACTTTGGCTACCTGATGCAAAGAACTGACTCACTGGAAATGACCCTGATGCTAGGAAAGATTGAAGGCAGGACGAGAAGGGGATAACAGAGGATGAGATGGTTGGATGGCATAACTGACTTGATGTACATGAGTTTGAGCAAACTCCAGGAGTTGGTGGTGGACAGGGAAGCCTGGCTTGCTGCAGTCCATGGGGTTGCAAAGAGTCAGACACAACTGACTGAATGAACTGATATTCAAGTCAAGGATTTGTCACTTTTAATATGCATGTCTTACACACCTTCCTTAAGTGTTTGAGCCTTAGTTTCTTTATCTGTTAAACATGGATAAGAAGAGCATCTTCATAAGGTTATTATGAAGACTGGAGAAGGAAATGGCAACCCACTCCAATATTCTTGCTGGCAAATCCCATGAACAGAGGAACCTGGTGGGCTATGGCCCATGGAGTCTCAAAGAGTTGGACATGACTTAGTGACTAAACAACAACAACAACAGCAAACTGTGAAGATTAAATGGAATAATGAATAGAAGGGACTTAGCAGAGTGCCTGGTACATGGCAATTTAATAAAGGTTTGCGGCTGAACTAGTTTCCCTGGAGAAAGTCTCACCACTCAGTGTTGGCTTGTCCCGTGTCCCCCTTTACTAAGAAGCTGAGGAAACCTCTCGTCAGTCACCTTTCTATCTTCTCTGAGGCAATATGTCTAAGTCCCAGAGAAGCGAGTAAATGTGCAAGATAGTACATGTGCTTCTAAGAAGATTCATAAAGTTAATCTCACTCATTTATTTGACTGACTCAGTCCTGAGGGAAGATGACTAAAACAGAGCCTTGAAAACCGCCAGCACAGTTATGAAATCACTTTACAACAGGGAGGATTTGTTGGAATCTTGTTTTTCACCACAGACTGAAAACCATCGGTTAGAAAAAAACTAGAAGAGGTTTTGCAGTCTTGAGCCCAGCAGACCACCAAAGTTAACAGCCAGGTAGAATTTCTTGGAATGGAAAATACACAATTTTGTAAAACCTTAAAGCATCCCAAGTTTATCTGATAGATGTTTGACCTCCGATTCTGAGCCCTAGCTTTTCTGGCAGAATCAGAAAGGGTAAGGGGACAGTGTGTGGAAGCTGGAATGGAGAAATGGAGAAGAGAAATTGAACAGGAGCAAGGAGAATCCACCCTTCAGCTCTGTTCTTCCCCCAGTTGAGTGCTGCCGGAAGAACATAAGCTCCAATCATTCTCAACACTGGAGAGCAAGGTAAAAGCTGCTCGGTTTTTGACATTGCTTCCTTAAGAACACCTGGAGAACAAGGACTGCATCTTCACTCTTTGAATGTTAAGCAGAGATGAACAAATTAGATACAACTTCCTTCCTCATTAAGCTTAGAGTATGGCAATCTAGAGTTGTAAGTGCAAATGCCTGCAGGCCAAGGAAGGCAATGAAAATCTTCCAAAGAGGCCTGGTGTGATAGAACAGGGAATGATGGGGACTGTGGCAATCTTAGGAGATCATGCTCCCCCAATGGAGACAACTGCTACATGTCTCCAACCTACTGCTGCATGGAAGGACGCACACCCAGTACTGCCAGACCTTCTGACTCTCAAAAGAAACTGCAAATGTCAACCTGTCAAGTCTCCTGATTTTTCAGAAGGCAAAGAGTTAAGAATTTTACAACATGGTTATAATACATTTAGTGGGGAGAAAAACAAGTCCTGGACCAAATACAACCTGAGGATTTCTAGTTTGCCACCTCTGGTCTAGTAATTAATACTAATGTGCCTGTGCTCCGTGCTCAGGCATTTTCAACTCTTTGTGGCCCCATGGATTCTCTAGGCAAGGATACTGGAGTGGGCTGCCATGCCCTCCGCCAGGGCACGTTCCTGACCCAGGGATCGAACCCTCATCTCCTGCGTCTCCTGCATTGGCTGGCAGATTCTTTACCACTGAGCCACCTGGGAAGCCCTCTAGTTACTAACACCTGGCACAATATCTAGGCCATGGTAGGTACTCAAAAATACTTGCTTCATAAATAAATTAATGAATACATACATACATACGTACGTAATGTCTTCTCACTATCATCAGAGAAAGTCTAAATAGCCGATGACAGTATTTTTCAAATTAGGGGAGTGGAATTCTCCAGTAAAGGGGTATCACCAAGTAAGAGAGCTGTCGTGCAATTCAGGGAGAGTGTTACCTTTGCACGTCTTGGTGGAGAAGTCCAGATAGTATTGAGGGGCACAGCTCTCATGCTGACAGTCCCCAAAGAGCAGGACCTTGCCTGGATCTCGGCAGGAGGTACAGCTGGCCTGGGAATCACAGCTTCCACAATTCACGCTGCATGCTGAGCAGATAGGAAAAGAAAATGACCAGATGATTAGAATTGCAAATACGGAAGCACTGATCAAACCTAGACAGATGCTGTGAAGGAACAGCCTCGCTCCAACCTATTCTCTAAATACTGCTCAGAACCCTCCCCTGTGATCAACAGTAACAGAAAATGTTAGTCTTATCTTCCAAAATCAGGGAAATTTTATTTTCCAGAGAAGATAAATTATAAACCCAAGAACAGAAATCCCACATCCAAACTGTACCATGCCTCAGCCATAGAATTTATACTTATTCCAAGATCTCTGGAATAATAAACCAGAGTGTCACTGGAACTTTGCTTCTTAAAGAATCAAGGCTCCTACAGTTCGCGATGTAGATTTAGATTTTTGTGTGATGCCAAGATTAAAATTGGGTACTGACTTAATCTGGAGCTCGGGAAATCCCATATTTTAAGATACAAAGGACTCTAAGGTGACCTGGCTTATTGATTTCCCCAGTTCTAATTCTAGGCAGACACTTATTTAGGCATTCATAGATGATCCCCAAATCCCATCACCCGTCATGCTTCCATCTCTCTCTGATTTAACAACTAGCATTTCTCCACCTGCTCAGTTGTTTATTCTAGAAACCTTAGAATCTATTCTGGCACCTCTCTTTCTCTCAATCCTAATTCATCACTCACTGGATCTTATTTACATGATTTCTCCTATATAATTCTCAGAACTTTTTGCTTTTCTCCATGTCCACACAGGCCAGGACATCCAAGCCATCATCATTTCTTACTGGACCACTATCATAGCCTCCTAATTGGTTTGACTCCTTGCATTCTATTCCATGAATCCCCAAAAGTGATTTTTTCTAAAATTCAGACTTATCAAGTGTCAGAGGGCACTTTCGTCTATGAACGCATGTCTTTCTTAAGTCTTGGAAAAATTTTAGCCATCATTTCTGCAAATATTGCTCCTCCATCATTCCCTCCATTCTTCCTACCAAGAAATCATAATAAACATATTTGAATCCTCTCAATATAATCTCCATGTCTCCTGTCTTTAACTCTTACTCATTCTTCAGTCTCTTCCACATAATGGCTTTCCCTGACCCTCTAGTCTGGAACAAGTCTCAGGTCTCCCAGGTACAGTTCTTATACATTTCATTCTTGCCATTCATAGGAATGCTCTATTCAGTGATTATTTACCATCTTTATCATTTAAAGCTGTAGCTTTGTGGAAGCAAAGACTAGATTTGTTTTGTTTCTTTCACAGTCCCCAGTCCCCAGGTGGTTATCTATAATTATGTCTGTGTTAAATCACATCTGACTCTATATGATTCCACCGACTGTACCCTGCCAGGCTCCTCTGTCCATGGGATCCTTCAGGCAAGAACACTGGAGTGGGTTGCCATTTCCACCTCCAGGGGATCAATTCAGAGATAGAACCCATGTCTCCTGCATCTCCTGCATTGCAGGTGGATTCTTTACCCACTGAGCCATTGGGAAATTGGTGTTCAATAAATACTAGCAATATAAATGATAGAAGCCAGATACTATAATTATATATACTCAAGCACTAGCATCTTTGCCTCACTCTAAAATTTTCTCAGTATGTTTCAGGTGAAAATTCTAGAGAGCGATCATGTGAATTTTAGTTCTAAAGGATATCAAATGCAGTAAAATGACCTCCCACTAAAATAAAAAGAAATTCCTTTTGTTTCTCCTGCAAGAAAAGCCACTGGTATAAAATATCAGTTACAATATGTAAACTGGTAATTAAAAGTCCTAGAAAAATTCTATACTGGAATTGCAAACAGCTAGCTTAACAATAATTAGAATAGAATAATTGCTGGAAACTTATATCAGGCTAAACTTTTATCATCTTGGGAGGTAGGATTTCTACACCCATTGCATCTTAATTTTACCAAAGGATCTGACAAAAATCTGGAAGATACACCTGTGAATACAAAAATGAAGTGGTATCTAACAGTTGTAGGTAGATTTGAAGATAGTTGAAATAAATACATACTCAAAAAGTTGTCAGTAAATCTTTGTAACTAGAAATGAATGTCTGTACTAGAGTATTATGATGAAGTAAATTTCTTACTTGATTATTTTTATCAATGACTTTAATGAAAACAGAGATCATGCTAACAATATTTAAATATGCCACATACACTTATACTGAATACATACCACCTGTAAGAAAAATTCAAATTTACTTTAGCCACTTGTAGCAGTAAACTAGGTTTCCTTGGTGGCTCAGTGCTGAAGAACCTACCTGCCAATCAGGAGATGTGGGTTCAATCCCTGGGTCGGGAAAATCCCGTGGAGGAGGAAATGGCAAACCCACTCCAGTTTTCTTGCCCAGAGGATCCCATGGACAGAGGGGTCTGGTGGCCTATAGTCCATGGGGTTGCAAAGAGTCGGATACCTTTCAGCAACTAAACATAGCAATAAACTAAAAGCAATCAGATGAAATTTAAATGGGTATATCTTTCCTTTTCTCATTTGCCTTTTGCTTCTCTTCTTTTCTCAGCTATTTTTAAGGCCTCCTCAGACAACCATTTTGCCTTTTTGCATTTCTTTTTCTTGGGGATAGTCTAGATCAGTGCCTCCTGTACAATATAATCAGTATATTATTGAGGATGTCCATTGACATCCTCAATGGACTTAATGGACATGAATTTGAGCAAACTCTGGGAGATAGTGAAAGACAGGGAAGCCTGGCGTGTTGCAGTTCATGGGGTTGCAAAGAGTTGGACATGACTGAGTGACTGAACTGACTGACTAAATCAGATGAAATAAGCTGTAAGGAGAGTCCTGCATTTATGTTCCACAACCAATTGTACAAACAGAGGAGACAGAAGGCCTGTTTAAACAGCAGCATTATAAAAAAAATCTAAGAATCTTAGTTGATTAAGAGCTTACTAAAAGTTGACCTGGTACTAAAGAAATGAACAGTCTTAAGCTGAAGAGCCTTCATGTAAACCTCAATGTGAGCTGGACCCCCTGTTGTATGTAAAGCTGCAAAATGAAGCCTCAAGGCCAGTTTCTCCGCGTGGGGGTGACAGGTCAGTGCCCTGTGCTAACAGCTTAGAGTTTCCTGAAGTTTACTTCCTCAACCTTCTGTCGGCCTGTGTGTTCTCGAGTTCTTCTGCGAAGTCTCTCATTCCAGAAGTGTAACTCAGCCCCTTCACTGACTGCCACAAGAAAAGGGTTCCTGCTGAGCACTGTGAATTATTAAGACTATATGGGAGATCTGGAGGGATGCAGTGGTGTCAGACTACAGAGTAGGGGGCTTCCATCATTTCTCTTTGAATCTTTCTTCCTCTCTTACTGAACCCCTCATCCTCCTCTAATCCCCGCATGACCTTGTCTCACTCAAATTGGTTCTGCAGATTCCAGGCCTCTTGGGTTCTCAGCGTCCCCCTTCAGAGCAGCGTGGGTGCAGGCCCTTTTCTCTGTCTTAGGACATTCAGACCACAGAGGGCATTAATCCTATTGCAGTCACATTGGTGACCACATCTTGAGTAACAGGTGCAGTTCTCTGAGGTCAGTGACCCCATGGAAAATGCAAAGAAGATAGTGAAGATGGTGGCAAGTGGACCAGGGAGCAGTGAGGGAAGCAGGGATGTACCTTAACCATCATTCACAGAAGAGGAAGAGATCTCACAGCCTATCAAGTCCATTCTCCCTCCTGAATAGGCCTGTTTGCTACTGTACCTCTGAGATGGTTCTCTCTTTTTGCTCCTATATTCCACTGACTCCAGTCCTGCCACGAGCAGGGAAGTCCAACTGGGAGATGATGGCTAATTTCCAACTTTTGAAGATAACAAGTCTGAATGAATGAGCAAGGAGCCATGCTAAACTTCCCTAGAGGGAAGTTCTAGGGCTGATGAGAAAGAACTGTCCAACAACTATGGCCCCCACCAATGGACCCCCCTTCCTCATCTGCAGATGCCTGTGAAGGGGTGAGAGAAAACCTCTGCCCTGGGTGTGAGGTTGGCTCAGACACCCTGGAGTTCTCCTGCCACCCTAGGGCCCTATGGTTTCAAGTACTGAGATCCTCAATTATCATCTCTTCTTTATCTGTTCAACTGGTTGTCCTCTAATTTTAGAGCTCAGTACACAATTTCTAAAGGTTTCTGTAACCAGGCTCTAGACAGTTCTGCAGCTCTTACCTTTTTCTATAATATGGTTATTAATGTCTCCCCTTTATACTGATTATATTTACTACAAAGCCCTTTACAGAATGAAATTTCTGCAATTTTCAGGCCTATAATTGTCTCTAATGATAAGCATTAGAAAAGGACACTGTGGATAATATTTTTAAGTACTAGAAATTCAAATACCACAACTTAGGGGCATGCTTTACTCAATCTTTGGAAGAACGAAACCTAAGCTTTAGCAAAGGACTAAAGTTAGAATATTCTTAATTTAACTAACTTAGTCTATAAAATCCTATTTACATGGTAGCATAGCAAATGCATTTGTTCAGGGCAGAAGCTTAGCAGAAGAGATATATTTCCATGCAACATATTTTTGTCACCTATACACCATATAAGGGGTTCTGTTTTTTTCCTTTGAACTTTTATTTCTGTGATTCTACTGCGGTGAAGAGCCCCATCAATCTAAGTCACTCCTTCTACAGCAGTTCTCCCTTGCTCTTGAACAGAACATGTAAGTATTTCATTCGTGTCTCTTGCATTACAAAACCTACAGATGCTGGTAGACAGTTGATATATACCAAGCAAAGGTTTTGTTACAAAAGTAAAAAGAAAAATATATTTTCATTGTCTTGAAAAGGGATTTTTATCTCCAGTTTCTAAACAGATAATGCAAAACAGGGGGTTCCGTAGAACTTCATTTCAAATGCTAATCCTTGCAAGCACCTCCATAAACTAACAGTAATATCTATCTTTCTATCTATAAAGTATAGATATCTCTTTTAATGCTTGATTTTCCTCTCATTTCACATGATGATGGTAACACAATGACAGCTATAGTGACAGCTTATTCTCTGCTAAATCTATGCTAAGTGCAATGACGTTAGATGTAGAAACTATTTATTTGGCTGTACTAGGTCTTCACTGATGCACATGAGCTTTCTCTAGTTGCAGCAAGTGGGGGCTACTCTCTAGTTGCAATGAGTGTCCTTCTCACTGGTGGCTTCTCCTATTGGGGAGCACAGGCTCTAGGGCATGTGGGCTTCAGTAGATGTGGCACATGGGTTTAGTTGATCTGGGGTATGTGGGATCTTCCTGGACTAGAGATTGTGTTTCCTCCATTGGCTAAAGGAAATTGGCTCCAGGACTAAAGGAAATCAGTCCTGAATATTCATTGGAAGGACTGATGCTGAAGCTGAAACTCCAATACTTTGGCCACCTCATGCGAAGAGCTGACTCATTGGGAAAGACCCTGATGCTGGGCAAGATTTAAGGCAGGAGGAGAAGGGGACGACAGAGGATGAGATGGTTGGATGGCATCACCAACTCAATGGACATGAGTTTGAGTAGGCTCCAAGAGTTGGTGATGGACAGGGAAGCCTGGCATGCTTCAGTCCATGGGGTTGCAAAGAGTTGGACACAACTGAGTGACTGAACTGAACTGAACTCCTCCATTGGCAGGTAGATTCTTTCCCACTGAGCCCCCAGGGAAAGCCTAGATATAGGCACTATTACAATCCCCCTTTTATAGAAAAAAGAAACTAAAGCCTGGTGGTTAATTCACCTGCTCAAGGTCACAAAGCTAGTTAAGGGGCAGTTAGGAGTTGCAATTTCATTACCTGATTTGAGAGCCCACTCTCCTAACCATGACTCTATAATTCCTTCAACATGGGACTTCCTAGGACACAGACTTGAAATATCTGCACTGTATTTGTTTTAACTGTCATTTTCAAAATGAGAAAAGTATAACACAATTTTTTGGCAACTGACACTTTACTGACTGAAATGAAATAAGCCTCCTCAGCCTTTCTAAAAACTGTTCCTTCATCTGTGAAGCACTTCCTGATTATTCCCCCTCCGATTTGCCCTTGCCCCAGTTTATCCCAACTCTTCGTTTGTGTGTGACTCAGGTAATTAATCATGCTTTGGCTTATTTGAGAACTAAGACATCTATACAAGTAGCTGTCATGCAAGACAAAAATAACTACTGTTTGGGCAGAAACTGAATGCTCTGTAGCATGTCAAGCCTTGCATATTGTCAATAATCAACAAACACTTCTCAAAAACAAACCCAGTGAAGAGATGAGGTCACGGCTTGTGTACTTTGAATGAGCTCTGCTCTCTGCTCAGGATCTTGGAACTGACTCACTAAGAGGAACCATAGGAATGAAATAGACTAACACTTTAATTATTTTAATGAGATAACTACAGTTCAGAGAGGTTAAATGATTGGCCCAAGATCACACAGCTGGTGCTTGCAGACCTAGCCCAGCACTTCCGATTAGGCCCGAATCTGAGTTATCATCTGAACATGGCCTCCATATGGTTTGTAGATTCGTTTTCTTTCTTTTCTAAAAATAAAGGTTACCAGGTAAGAATATGGAAGTAAAAAAAACCCTATTTCCTTCCATGACCCCAGAAGAGCAAGAAAGGAGAGACAGTTCATTTTTTTAAAAAACTTACGCTGACAAACATGGTTGTCATCGAGATAGTGCCCAGGGAAGCAGGCGGTGCTGCAGGTGCCAAGGTGGGACAGAACGCGGCCAGTGTCACAGGAGGAGCAGGAGAAGGGACCCCTGCCCTGGCAGGTTCTGCAGGAGGGATGACATTCTGCAGAGAGATGAGACACGGAGGGAACCCATGAAGCCAAATTCCCTTCCAAAGCGGCACACCCGGAGCCACTAATAAAAGCTCCAGCATGCAGAGGGTTAACTGGTCTGCTTTACTGCCCCCTGTGCTGGCGAGACCCCCCCCCCCCCCCCGAGGTTCAAGCCTTCTCAGGTAGGATCCCCAAGAGAAAGAAGATCACGGGGCACCACCAGCTCCTGCGTCCAGCACTTACTCACTTTTACAAGCTCCTCTCTCCACGAAGTACCCGGAAGGGCAATCAGGGACACAGCGGTCCCCCAGCAGCAGGCTCCGGGCATCCTGGCACTGCAGGCAGCTGCTCCCGGTGTCGTGGAGGTCAGCCGCACACTGGTGGCACAGAGGGTGGCAGTCTGAGAGGACAGGGGGCACAGAGAGAAGGCACAGATGCTGTGAACGCAGCGTCTCATTTCTACACTGAAGGGTAAAAGGGATTGCAATGACCACTGATGTAGCGCAGACAGCTGGGGAGCAGCCTGAAGGCAGTGTGGACATCAGTGAAGGAGAAGCCTGGGACCTGTACAAACGGCGTGTTTGAGGTTTTTAGCAAATGGTCAGGTCCAGCACAGCAATTGAGTCTTCATCCCCTTTCAATTGAACAGCCTTCAAACCCTAGGGCAGCATGTGATAGATACTTGCCAGGAGTATAGAAAGAGCTGTCAGATAACAGAAACAGTCCATCAGATCAACACCGAGAGCTCTGAGAGCTCGAATACAGAGAGCCCCGCCTTATTCACAGAGCTTCTTACTATGCCCAGTACCTCCACGAGGCTCCATCTCCCCAAGGGGGTCTTCCAGAGTCAGCTCTCCAGTCTCAGACATTTGTGTGAGAGGATTAGGGTAAGTTGATAATTGAATTGGGGGAAATTTTCAGTCCTTAACTAGAGGTAAAGTTAGAGTTTCCTTGGTGGCTCAATGGTAAAGCATCTGCTTGGCAGTGCAGGAGATGTGGGTTTGATCCCTGGGTCGGGAAGATCCCCTGCAGATGGAAATGGCAACCCACTCCAGTATTCTTGCCTGGAGAATCCCAGGCAAGAATGGACAGAGGAACCTGGTGGGCCACAGTTTATGGAATCTCAAGTCGGACACGACTTAGCTCTTTCTTTTCTTCTTTCTTTCTCTCTAAGCCTCAGTGACACACATTCTAATTGCTGATCATCTGAGACATGTTCTATGCCAAAGAAAAGATCTTAACTCCATACCCAGCACCCACTCATCCACACAAGAAGTCTTTCTGGGGCCTTTACAGTCACTCCAGAAGTTGAACCTGGAGTTCAGTTCAGTTCAGTTGCTCAGTTGCATCTGACTCTTTTTGACCCCATGGACTGCAGCAGGCAGGCCTCCCTGTCCATCACCAACTCCCAGAGTTTACTCAAACTCATGTCCATTGAGTCAGTGATGCCATCCAACCATCTCATCCTCTGTCATCCTCCATAGCCTTGACTAGATGGACCTTTGTTGACAAAGTAATGTCTCTGCTTTTTAATATGCTGTCTAGGTTGGTCATAACTTTCCTTCCAAGTAGCAGTACATTAATGAATAACCTCTGACCTTTCTCTGAACTTCAGGAGTTTCAAGTTTCTGGCAGCCTTTGGCCAACATTAGAAACTATTCTTGATATCCTAAGAAGCAAATTAATCCCCATTACAGTCTTTCAGTAAATTATAAAGGAAATGATGGGTGAATCAAGAGAAATCTGATAAGCAGGCTATTTCCCCCTGATTCAGTGTATGGCTTCCACACAACCTTTTCATTTTCTTTTTTTGTGTACTCTCCTCTCCGTGCCAGAAGCACTGAAAAGTCGCTGGAGCAGATGGAGGTGGCTCTGTTGTATGATTACCTTAATGGGTGGGTACAGGTTAGAATTGGAAACCCAGGAAACAGGACTGATTCAAGGCTCCATTATGTGAAAAGTCTTGGCCTCTTCCTCTTTTTAAGCCAGTGCTTAAGAGAGCACCGGGCTCAGGCATGCGTCAACGAGATCTGCAGCTGTGCAGTGGTCTAAAGACTAGTTGCCTCTAACTGCTTTCTCCAGCATACAATTAGAGAAAGGAAAAAGAATAATCACCAAGGGGATGCTTTGAAGAGAAAGTAAGCAGATCTCTTGAGTATTTTGTGGCTACAATAAACAAATATTTATGGATTTGTCTGACTGTGTGGAACTCTAGAAGCTGTTTGAATGAATTGTGTGATGTGTATGAAATACTTCTAAAAGGCAGCTAGAGCTAGTTCACGGACGCTCCTTCCCGCTCTCATGGCAACCACTTTTTAAAAATATGCTTATTTTTATTTATTTATTTGGCTGCACTGGGTTTTATAGAGGCATGCGGGATCTTGTTCCCTGACCAGGAATTGAACTCGGGTCCCCTGCCTTGGGAGAACAGTCTCAGTCACTGGTCCACCAGGGGAGTCCCTCATGGCAGCTGCTTTGAAAACCTTGCCACTCTTCCCCAGTCACCAGAACCCGCCCTGCCCACCCTCCTAACTCCTCCCAGGTTATTTCACCCTCTACTTGATTCACCCCATCAAGCATGAGCACCTTTGCTTCTTTCCTGTCAACCCCTTTTTATTTCTTCTCGTCTCCCCTCCCAAGATGAAATGGCTAATTTCTCCACTCATATTTTTTGATCCAATACTCAACATTATTTGAACATTATGGCAACATTATTGCATCTTTTACCCCCATCTCTCTTCATTCTCCCCAAGGTCAACCTCCAAAATGTGTTCTGCATTACTTACTCCCTCCAAAACTTTTCTCAACAATCATTCCATCTCTTGCCTTCCCCTCGCCACCCAACTTTCTTGCCTCCCTAACTTCTCACCGCACTGTAAATCTGCCATCCACGTCTACAATTCAGCTTTGACTGCTGTTGAAAAGGGCTCTGACCACCTAACAACCAGATGTAATGGCTTCGTCTAATGCCTGGGCTGTGTGCTGCGCTCAGTCATGTCCGACTCTTTGCGACCCCATGGACTGTGGCTCACCAGGCTCCTCTGTCCATGGGATTTTCCAGGCAAGAACACTGGAATGGGTTGCCATTTCCTACTCCAGGGGATCTTCCCGACCCAGGGATCAAACCTGCGCCTCTTGAGTCTCCTGCACTGCAGGTGGATTCTTTACCCCTAAGCCACCCAGGAAGCCTAACTCACCCAAAATGTCTGCAACACATGACACTTTGGATCACCCCTCCTCCTTGACCTCCCTCTTCCTATGCCTTGTTCTGGGGCTCCTCTCAGTCATTCTCTGCCTCTCATTTCCTGATAAGTGCAGAAATACCTCACAACCCTCAACTTCCTCTATCTCCCTAACTCTCATTCTCTGAAGGTCTTAGAATCAGACATGGCTGGTTGCATCATCTTGGTCTGGTAAACAGCTACCAAAAGCCTGTGGAAAGGGCCCAAGAGTTGCAGAGAGAGGGAATGTGAAGTGGTATAGCCACTATGGGAAAAGGATGGAGGCATCTCAAAAACTTAAAAATTCCACATCTGCATACTTTTCTGAAGAAAACAAAAACACTAAATTGAATGTGGGAGAAGGCGAGGGTGGGATGTTCTGAGAGAACAGCATTGAAACAAGTATACTATCAAGGGTGAAACAGATCACCAGCCCAGGTTGGATGCATGAGACAAGTGCTCAGGGCTGGTGCACTGGGATGACCCAGAGGGATGGGATGGGGAGGGAGGTGGGAGGGGGGTTCAGGATGGGGAACACATGTAAATCCATGGCTGATTCATGTCAATGTATGGCAAAAACCACCACAATATCATACAGTAATTAGCCTCCAACTAATAACAATAAATGGAAAAAAAATAAAATAAAATAAAAAAGAAAACATACATGCACCCCTGTCTTCACTGCAGCATTATTTATAAAAGTCAAGATATGAAAGCCACCTAAATGTCCATCTGTAGATGAATGGATAAAGAAAATGTAGCATATATATTTCCAGTGGAATATTACTCAACCATAGAAAGAATGAAATGTTGCCATTTGCAACGACATGGATGGACCTTCAGGGTATATGCTAAATGAAATCGGTCAGAAAGAGAAAGACAAATATCATATGATTTCACTTACATATGGAATCTAAAAAACAAAACTGAACAAAAAACAGAAACAGAGTGAAAGATGGAGAAAACCAACAGGCAGGGCCCGGAGAGGAGAGTGCTGGAGAATGGATGAGTGAAACAGGTGAGGGCGAAGAAGAGATACAAACTTCTAGTGACAAAATAAATAAGGAATGGGGATAAAATGTACAGCATGGGGGATACCAGCTATAATACCATAATAACTTTGTATGGTGACAGTAACTAGACTTATTGTGGTGATCATTTTATAATGTATAGAAATATCAAATCACTATGTTGTGTAAAAGGAACTAACACAGTGCTGTAGGTCAATTCTATTTCAATTAAAAAAAAAAAGGAGAGAGTTGCAGAGACTTCAAAATTACTCAGGGCCTTTGCCTCTCTCCATGGCTCCATATTAGGCCTTAAAGAGGCATGGAATCAATCACCAGACACACCACAACGCATGAAGGAGTGAGTACCCAGAGGCAAGGAGAAATCAATGAGTGACGCCTGGAAAAATAAAACAATCAAATGCACATTATCCAAAGAATCACATTAATCCAGGTGAGTTTACAGGTTCACATTATACACGAGACTGTAACTACTCGAGTTTGGAAAGTTGGACTCTTTTTGTGCATTACCTGTACTCAGTTCTTATTCATTTATCCATAGCTTAAAAAGTCATGCTAGAGGCTTCCCAGGTGATGCAATGGGAAAGAATTCACCTGCTATTGCAGGAGACACGGGTTCGATCCCTGGTCTGGGAAGATTCCACATGACATGGAGAAATGAAGCCCGTGGTCCACAACTATTGAGCCTGTGCTTATGCCCCAGAACCTGTGCTCCACATCAAGAGAAGCCACCACAATGAGAAGCTCAGGCACTGCAACAGAGAGTAGCCCCTGCTCACCACAACTAAAGAAAAGCCCGTGCAGCAACGAAGACCCAGCACAGACAAAAATAAATAAATAAAATAATTTTTAATAAGTCATACTGAACATCCAATCCTAGGAATAGATTCACCCCAAAACAACTGTCTGAGTGAGTCCTCTGTTAATGCGTGTATGTACTGTGCAAAGCTGCTTCCATCGTGTCCGACTGTTTGGGAACCTATGGACCATAGCCCACCCGGCTCCTCTATTCATGGGATTCTCCAGGCATGAATACTGGCATGGGTTGCCATGCTCTCCTCCAGGGGATCTTCCCCACCCAGAACCTGTGTCTCTTGGGTCTTCTGCATTGACAGGCGAATTCTTTACCACTAGCTCCATCAGGAAAGCCC